GAGCAAGAGCAAGGCGCCCAAGGTGTGGCAGACTCAGTGGGAGAAGCCCAAGAAGGGGGGAAAAGGATCCTGGCCCTCGGGGCCGACCCGGTCCAAGCCGAAGGGCAAAGGCGGCAAGGGGAAGTCCCCCAACACCCCCTCGACCCCATGGCCGGACCACTGGGCTTTCAAGAATCCCAAAGGGGTGGCGTACTGCAGAGATCATCACCTTCACAACAAGTGTTCGGGATCATGCGGCCGATCCCACAACTGCCCGGTCAGGAAGGATGGGTGGGTGTGTGATGCCCCCCCATCGAAGCATGTGCCACAGGCATGCCCACACCTTCCCAAGTGACAGGAGGCCACTCAGGGTGCCATAGGCCCCGTGGCTTCCTGGTCTCCGTTGGGAGCGGGGGAGGCCAGGACGGCCTCAGGTGGCCCGGAAGCCCCTCCACCGAAGAAGAGGAGCGGACCCAGCCAGGGCACTCCAGAAGGGCGGAAGCACCCCTTCCCCCCGCACCCACCGAGGCAGTGGGAAGAACCCCCAGAGAGACCCAGAGGTGAGGATCCGCCCGGCAAGGGGTGTTCCAAGGGCGGGCAGAACCGCCAGGGCAAGCAGCAAGCCCAGGGACAGATGACCGGAGGGTCAGACAAAGGACACACGGAATCCCTAGGGGGGGCAAGCCCCACTTTCCCATGGATGCAGGATACCCCGGAAAGACTGAGGCGCAGACTGAGGTGGATGCCACGTCCGGTGCCGGAGTCGTCAAAGCCGTCCCTCATCCTGCTGTACGCTGGGAAGGATGATGCGGGGGCCCTGGATGCTTACCTCCATGCCTACAACCCGGCCTTCTCGGAGTACATTTGGGCAGTGGACATCAGGCGAAAGAGTGGAGATCTTGGACAGGACATGCTGGGAGAGGAGCCGTACTACGATGTGCTCATGGCCATGGCGGGCAAGGTCGCCTTTGGGGGGCGGCCCAACTGCAGGACGTGGAGCATTCTCAGGTGGTTCCCCAAACCGGGTGGCCCGCCGCCGGTGAGGGGCAGGGCGGAGCACGGCTTAGAGGACCTGGAGCCCCGGGTAATGGAGGACACGGACAACGACAGCGTGCTCATGCTCCGACAGATGTACCTGACCTCGGTCAACTAACGGTCCCGCAGGTGGGCTCCTCCTTCTTTCTTGGAGCACCCAATGGACCCAATGGAGTGCAGCAAGAGCTCGGGCAGCGATGAGTTCAATGGGCGAACGCACTCCACCACTCCCTCATCAAGTTTGACGAGTGCCGCCTGGGCCAGGTGGTAGTGAAGTCCACGACATTGTCAACGGACCTTCCCCTTCACCATTGGCATGATCTGCGATGCAACCACGGAGCTCACCCCAGGGGGGAAAAGCTCAACTCCAGTGACCTCAGCCGGTATCCAGAGCAGATGATGCAGGGTCTCGCAGCGGCCATCCTTTGCAGAGCGGGACCCGTCCTGGAGGCGCTGAGGCCGGGGGGCATGGTGCCCCAGGCGAACCCAACGACCCCCCCGAGGCGACAGAGGGAGCCTTCTCCCAGCACGCCGGGGGACAACAAGCGCCAGTCCCGGAGGCTGGTGGCCGGCCAACAAGCGTTGGCGGGACTAACCTTGGGCTCATTTCCGGTCTCGGCATCAGACAAGGCCCGGACACCAACACAGCCGGCTGGGGGGATGGTCGAACTTCGGGGTGGAACTCTTTCCCCTGAGCCATGGGCACGCCATTGCATGGAGATCTCGGATCGGCCCACCACCCTGCCGATCACGCACGACCCAAATCTCTCCGACAAGGTTATGTACCTCCAGATGGCCTTCAAACAGCGCCCCCTAAGAGATGGGGGTGGGAAGCCCTCACTGGGACGGCTGGCCCCGTGGACGCGGCCACTGTCCAAAGCAGCAGTGATGGGGGCCAAGATCTGTGTCCTCGCTTCGCCGTGGGGGGACAAGCTCCAGGAGTCGCTCTCGTTGGGGGACGGGTCACATCCCTTCCCGGAGGACCTGCTGGAGGATATCAGGGAGATCCTGGCGCCTGGGGCGGGCCGACCAGCTGAAGGCCAACCCTTCTTGCTGGACATCTTGCACAGCGTGGCGCTGAACATTCAGGACCCCGACCAGTTTCCTCGGAATCTGGAACAAGGGGTCCCACTGGGGGTCACGGACCCACCCCTGGCCTCGCCGGGCATCTGGCCACTCAAGAAGGAGCTAAAAGGGGAGGAGCCGGAGTTCCAGCAACTCCCTCATCCCACGGGCCGGGGTAACTACCCTTCGGCGGATCACTTCAGTGAGCTCATCCGTGGCACATTCCTGGAGGAGGTCCCCATGGGCATGGTAGAGGGCCCCTTCACTAAGGTGGAGGCAGCATCGCGCTGTGGATGCGAGATTGAGGACCTTTGTCCCGGCCCCCTAGCTTGCATCGATGAAGGGGACAAGATCCGCACCATCTACGATGGCTCGGTGGGCGGGGCCAATGACACCATCAGGAACCAGACGGTGGAAAGGACAACGGCTCCGACGGTGCTGGATGGGGCACAAGCTCTTCATTGGCTACATGCGGCAGCTGCGGAGGGACCTCCCTCTCAGGGTGCCCCTGGCCCCGAGAGGGAGGTCGTCAAACCTCCACCTGGGGGCTGGCTACGGCCGGAGCCGGGCACCAGGTGGGTGCTGCTCAAGGCGGACGTCACCAAGGCCCACCGGAGAGTGAAGGTCCTCAGAAAAAACTGGCGGTTCCAGGTGGCTTCACTGGGGGAAGAATGGTGGGTGAATCCTACTGGGGACGCCTGGCAGCACTTCTACTCAGGGTCCTCTACGCACTTTTCCCTCAAGTGGATTGGAACTTCGTCTTTGTGGATGACTTCCTGTGGCTGCTTCGAAGCGAGGGGGCAGTAAACTTGGCGGTGGCGCTGTTGGCAACACTCCTGGCCTTGGGCACCCCGCTTAGCTGGAAGAAGACACATTTGGCGGAGGTTAACACGTGGCTGGGCTTCGTGGTCCACCCGAACATCCCGCAGGTTCTCATGGCCGCCAACAAACACATCCTGGTGATGGAGGTTTTGCAGACCATGGTGGAAGGGCAGGCGATGCACTCAAAGGACATCGAGAAGGCCCTGGCCGCATCCAATGGGCGACTGCTGCATGTCCGCTGGCGAAGTCTATGCTCCAGCCACTTTGGGCCTGGAAGATGGCCACCACCACGGTGGGGAAACCCCCCAAGGTGGTCAGGATGCTGGCGTTCATGCTGCGGTTCCTCTTCAACACGCCCTTCGTCCAGTACTCCCCCTACTTGCCGAAGTCCTCTTGGTGGGGCTGCAGCGATGCTAGCGCCTCGGACGAAGGACTGGCATTTGTGGGAGGTTGGTGCTCCAACAAAGTGGAACCGGAAAAGAAGGAGGTGTGCTGGTTCCACGAGCAGATCCACGTGGAGGAGTACCCTTGGGCATTCAAGAATGGGGATCCCAAGCGGAGGATTGCGGCTTTGGAAATGCTGGGCACGCTCTTCCTCTGTAACATGATCCTCACGCACCAAGGCCCTCTGTCCTCCCGGGTCCGACTCCCGGTGGGCAGTGACAATCAGGGCAACGTCATGGCGATGCTCAACCTTGGATCCAAGAAGCCCTACACCGCGGCGATCCTGATGGAGCTGGTCTTCCTGCTCCACACCCATGGCTGCTCGCTGGCGGCCAACCACGTGCCCCGGGAATTCAACCAATGGGCTGATGAACTGAAGCACCCAGATTTCTCTGGGTTCGACCCTTTGCACAGGGTCCCCAAACAGGAACTCTGCGAGGAGTTCGTTTTTCTCCCACGTCTCCTGAATGGAGATGCATTTGATCTTAGTGTGGGCCCACCCATGCTCCCGTGACCGGAGCCGGTGGGTGACTCACTTGCCCTGGTGTCAGACCCCCCTATGGCCTGGGTGCCCCGGGCCCCGGCTTAGGGGCGGGCGCTATCAGTCTGCACACCCGTTCTTCAGTTTTTGAGATTGTGAGTTAGTTGGGTGGCCCATGGGGCCCACCCAGCCTTTGACATCTGACAGGGGAAGATGAGTCCCTGGCACCAACACATTGCTCGGATAAAAGAGTTATCGCGTGCTTGTGTGGTGCCGTTTGGTTAGCTTGCATACACTTCTGTTTCTTTTTCTCTGCAGTGTCACCAGGTAGACCTTGTCAGACTGCCTTACTTGCAAAGATGTATGCCTCAAAGTGATTGCGCTTGCTGCTTGCTATGCCGAGCTGGTCCACCAAACAAAAAAGATCCGAAAAGCAACCGGAGCCGCCATTTCTTGGGCCACGTATTTTCCTTCTGCCATACAAGGAACATCCAATTTCTTGCGCCCACATTCTGAAGACCGTTTTGTTCGCCACCCTTCACCGCCGAGTCGATTTGTTTAGAGGCGAGGGTTGGGCCGCAACCTATGTCTTAGATTCCCTTTTTGTTCCCCAAGGGCTGAACCAGGTCTGTTTCTTTTTGTACACCTCTTATTGGAGGAGGTGTCCCTTCCAAATCAACCCATCAATTGCGCTTTCCATGAAAATCCACCAACAAGTCTGGCTTTTTTTGCCCGGATTTTCTTTGCACCGCCAGCCCATTTGTGTCCGTCTTTTTTGGTGGTACCCCTTTTCTGGTGGTTTTTAGAGGGAAACCAAAAGGGAAACCATAAGAATTTGGGGTCCCCCCAAAAAAGTCAGACCCATTCGTTGGTGCATTTTGCTTGGATGTTAGGACTTTAACTTTTTGGCAACTAATGGGTGTTCCCCATTAACCCACTAAACGTTATTCACTTTTAGCAGAGCAGAAAGCAACCAAGAAGGGCCATCCACTCAGGAAGTGAGAATAACATGGTTGTTGTTGGGTAAATGGACACATGGACTAAAACCTGCGGTCCCCGAGTTGATTTTGTCCCATAATTACCAAGTGTGTTGCTTGGAATGTTTTTTAGAAGATGTTTTCCATTAAACCACGAAAAGTTATTCACTTTTAGCAGAGCAGACGAGCATTTGTAGGCCATGTACCCTGATTTCGTGGCGTGCTCCCCGCGGGGCTTGGTGCCGGCCGTGGACAAGGCCGGGGAGAAGGTCTGGGAGTCGCTGCACGTGGTGCAGCGCCCTAGCAGGGAAGATGGAGGGTGAGGGTCGAGGGTTGGCTTTGGGTTTCATGGTTGTTGGTGGGCAACATTGTACATCTCATCTTTGCTTATTTTGGTTGAGTGGGAAATCCCCACTAAACTGCAAAAACATATTTTGTTGCTCCCCTTCCAACGTCAACCAAGGTTTTGGGTTTTGGGTTTTGTGGGAATGGGGTTTTGTGGTTGGTCGAGGGTTGGTTTTGGGTTTTGGTTTTGGGTTTTGTGGGAATACAGTGTTGGGTTTTAACCAAAATAACCGAGTTGCGATCTCTTTTTTCAGTCGCTGTTGCTGGTTTTTGGGGCAAAGTTCATGGAAAAAAGCGATCGCAACTGGCGATCCAGGGGGTTGGTTTTGGGTGTTTGGTTTTGGGTTTTGGGTTTTGGGGTTTTGTGGGAATAGGATTTTGCGGTTGGCAGAGGCTTGGCATGGTTGTGGGAAGTAGGGTTGTTAGGGCCACTTGATGTGATTCCAAGGGTAGAAAAAGGTGAAAAAGTAGGTTTTGGAGCCACTTGATACCAATTGAAATTTGCATTAAAGTGACAAAGTAGTCATGAGCATGGCCCTCTTTGGTATCACGCAAATGCTTGCTTCCTACAACCGTGAGGGTTAGGTAGCGAGCGAGGGAGGAGGGAGGGAGGGGATGGGAGGGAGGGCTAGGGATAGGGTGAATTGCCAACTTGGGGGAGGTTGGAATTCAAAATTGGTTTTGTCCCCTTTGTTCGTAGAGGGTAGAGGGTCGGTTAGGGTCGAACTCAAGATCGCAGCGGCTTTGGGGTCCCAGAAAGTATGGGTTGAGTTTCAATGGATGCCCTTCGGACATCAGGACTGGGATTTCTGGTAACCACCAACCACTTTTTGGGTGGCCATATCTTAAGTATGACGAAGTCTGCAACGGAAACCAACAACATGCTTGTTTGGTTTTACCTCGGGGTTGGGCCAGGGTTCTGGCTGTCTTGAGTTTAACCCTGCTCCCATGTTTTGCCGCTGAAAAATGGGGGACGTGTTGGTCTTAGCGAGTCGGATTCCAGAAACAACACGTTTGGCTTGGTAGAAGGCTAGGGGCTAGGGGTTAGCGACCTAGGGAGCCCAGCCGAATGGGAGGTTGACAAAGCAGATGGTTGTCGCGCGTAGGTCGAGGGTCAGAGGTGAAGAGAGGCTAGGGCCGGGTTCGTTTTTTTTTGGTTTTTGGTTTCAGTGCCTTTTTCTCACCAAAAGGGACAGCAAGGATGGGGCTTCCCAAGGTACATCGATGAGGCGTTCGACCAGCCGCCTTACTTCCTCCCGCGCAACGACCCCTTGAAGCGCGCGCACGTGAGGATTTGGTCTGACTCGCAGCTGAAAAACGGCACAAGCTGTCCTGATTCAGTGGAATCACTGCTAAATTACCACGTTCGAAGGGGAACTCCAGTGACCCCGTCTTTTTAAGTTGAGTTGTTCCCTTTGACTGGCCAAAATAGGTATCGTTGATGTGTTTTGGGCCATGGCCGCTGGGTTGGAATCAATCGACAATGGCAGGGCGTCATAGGGACGTTTCCGGCTGCAAGTTAGGACTTTGTGACGGAGAAGATGCAGAAGCGCCTTGGCAGCTGCAATCCACTTCGGATTACATGACAGTTCGTTTTCTCGGACTCAAGCAGATGTTTGTCCTGTGGTTTCCCTCCAAACAGGCCCATGATGTACTCGACAAGTCTGGGCCCAAAACAGGCATGGGCTGCATCCTGGGAAAGCCCAGCATGCCGTCTCGCCTATTTGCCCCCCTTTGCTCCCGGCACGCCTCTCTAGTGTGGTCGGTGTGTGAGCCCGATGGATTCAGAGACGTGGGTGTGGGTCAAAAAAAAGAAGAAGCCCAAAAAAGTTACCCTGGCAAATGGAAACAAGGACTAAAACCCGCGGTTGTTGGTGGTTTGATTTTGACCCGTACCCATACCTTCTGAGCTGACAGTTCAGTTTTGGGCTACTTTTGTTCAAGGATCAATTCAATGGCGTTTGTGGCGTACTAATCCAAATGACCTGGCAGTTCAACAGAACCGAACAAAAGGTCGACTGTCCGCCCCCCCCTCCCCCCAAAAGAGAAAGAGGGCAGATCTGGAAAGCCTGCTTGGGGTGGCAGGAAACCATCTATTTGGCAGGGGGTGAGAAGCACCAAATCAGAACAGAAGACCTGTCTTGGCCAACACTCCCTTGTGATACCAAAACGGTTGATGCTAAATCCCTGCCAAGATTCAATCACTTTGGAAGGGATTCCGACTTGGTGTCGCCGTCATCAAATTTGCAACCCAGTGTTTAGAAGAATACAACGACCCAATGAGTATGCAGATTCAGCTTAACGGGGGGATGTGAAGCTTAACTTGTTTAAGCACCATAATCAGAAAACAACGCTCCGTTGGCAGGTGGTTGTTTTTTTGTGGTTAATTCGCACTAAAAGAGTTGAGTTTTGTCCGATTTCCCATCGAACAAAACAACAAACCGCGCGCCAGGAGCTTCTACATGCTTCTCATGGACCAAGATCCCGGGAGCCAAGCCAAGGCCCGGGAGAACTTCTTCCAGGACGCTCTGCGCGACGTGCCGCGTGAGAAGAAGCGACGTACACAGCGGACAGGGCTGGATGAATCATCCGGATTTCTCTGACTCGTGGGGCGCAACTCCGAAGAAAGCGGAGTTGATTTGAAGGGTAGGTGGAAGATCATTGTTGGAACCGAGTTGAAGTGAGCTTCCTTTTGGCGGGATGATGTTCTATGGATGGGTTCGGATTGGCTTCAGGATTTGAAGCCCTTTCTCTTGAAGCTAATTGGGAAGAAGCGGCCTTGAACCCTGATACCCGAAGCCAACCCATGCCAACAAGTTCGGGTCAGGTGAAGCTTCAGGATTTCAAAACCCAAGGCTGCTCTTTGGGTTTGCTGTTCGCATCTGCGCACAAAGCGGGGAAGGGGGAAGTAGATTCGGAAGGCTTCATGCTGAGCGGATAAACGTGGGAAAGCGATGCTACGGACTTTTACCCGACATTGCCTAGTTGATACCTTTTAGTGAAAGCCGCAATAAAGCTGCCACATGTCACTTCCGAAACAAACCTAATCCAACATAGCTTTGATGTATTCACCCTATGAATCATCATTTTTCAAGACGCCTGGCTGGACCCCCCATTTAGGCCTTTCCAAGTCCTTTGGTTAGAAACAAGTTTAAGCTTCACTTGGGTTGTATGGATTTCGCTGCTTTTGGATCCAGCAACAACTTTTGCATGTTTTAAGGGTTAGACTAAATATGAAGCAATCTGAAGATGTTATTTGGGTCTGGGGCTCAAAACATGGGAGCCCCAAAATGGACAGTTTTCCCTTTTGGCTTCCCTTTAAAAGCCAACCAAAACGGGGTACCCCCCAAGAAACCACTGGCACATCTTCCGAAGGAGTGCCGCACCTTTGCGCGGGCGATGAGCAAGGACTCGGGCTCGGGTGTGTTTGGCGTGCTCTTTTTGGAGTTCCCTTGATGTTGGGCTCTCCTACTTTGAGACATCCCCTTGTCCACAGAGTTTACGCAAAGTAGCAGATTACGGAGGGGGGGAGCAGAAAAGAAGAGGGACAAAAAGTACGGGTCAAAATAAGTCAGACATTTGCCAAAGCTGGTGATATACGGTTTTTTGCAATACGTGGTCTTTTTGAGAACTTGCTATCTCGGTGTTGCCCCAACACCTCGTCATGGTAGGGTTGGGTTGTGACGTGCTTTAAGGGCGGGGCATGCCAATGGGGTTTCAACACGGGCCGAATCATGGCGATCCCTTCAGATGGCAGGTTTCAACTTTTGGGTCATTTTGTGCCCCCCCCCCCCAGTTCATTCGACATGTTCGTCGGTGGCGTCAGCAAGTTTGGCGCAGAGCATTTGCACATCGGCTGGCAGGGACCTCTTGTTCTTCGCTCCCTACGAGCGGGGCCCTGAATGATAAATGCTGTCTGAATCCACAAACAAATTTCGCACAGTTGAATTTCTGTTGGATGTTTGGTTGGGGCTCCTGAAGGACAAGGAGCTAGCTGGTTCATTTGAGACTTTGGTCTGGTTACTGAGATCCCGGATTCGTAAACCCATCCTACTAGGTGGTGTCATCCACAAAAGTGAAGGATGTCCACCAAAAAGGAACACCCCCTATTAATAAACCAGGGGGGTTATGATTTCTGGGTTGACAATATGACTCGGCAATTGTAGGTCCAGTGTCCTACTACTTCCCGGATTTGAAAAAAATGTCATGCTTGGATCGGGGCGAGTTACCTTAGATTTCGGGGGCCAACGCCACCGCACCATTGAATTCGATTTCTTTTTTGGGAGTATCCCGTACTTTGGGGTATGGTTACAATGTTCACGTGGGAAATCTGGGTTGTTCAATACTCCATCTTATTGATCGATCCTTCCAGATTTGACCATCGCAGTGGCCCATGAGTTGGGGATCCAGTTTGAACAACCCATGCCAGGATGGTCCCTACTTCTTGGGAGAGAACATCTCCATGGTGGACATTGCGCTGGCGCCCTTCTGGCAGCGATTCCTGTGGATCGGCGGTCACTACCGAGGCGAAGATACCAAGGAAGGGAAGGGAGATGGAGGTGTAAGGAAAGTGACCAGAGAAGCGAAAGGAGAGATTGGGTGATTTCCTTCGTCCATCAATTCAGGTCCTTTCTGTAATAGCGGTTCATCTCTGGGATTGATGGCCAGCGGATGTCATGTCACTCTTCCTCTCTTCGTTCGTTAGGGAGGCATCACCGTGAGCCACACTGAGAGTTTCGAGCATGATAGACATGCAAAAATATGACAAGCAAATACGACAGATGCATGTTGGCGCGTGTAGAGTGGGGGAATTGCTCCAGTGACCAAAAAGGCAAGGTACGCACTATAAGAGACAAAAACGAACACCCAGACTCATTTAAGTAGATGGTTGAACAGTTTCGTCATCCCTGCTTGATAGTCCAAGGCAGAATCGGCGTCAAGCCTCCACCAAACTGTGCTCGAGGTGAGAGCAAGAAGGAAATGTTCAAATCCCAGCGGTGTACTCGGTGTTCCAAGCTTGGTAAAGCTCAGTGAATTTCAAAGGACCAAACAGATCTTTGTCCCGTGCCTTGGGCAAGTGAGCTGTGTTCATGTTGCTTTCAAATCTAGGGAATCTGGAGCCTGAGGGCTGTGCCATGGTAGTGACTGAATTGCCATTGCAATTCTTCACTGAAAGCGAAGCTTCCGTCTTTGCCACAGTATCAGAACGATGACAAACTCTGTTTGCATGGCTCTCCTGAGAACTGACATGCAGGCCTCAAGAAACCAGTTTGAATCCCAAACGAGTAGGGTTTTCCTCTACTCGTCCTTGCTGAGCATTTGTATTTGTGGGCAACATCCTGCGAAACAAGTTGGTTCGGGTGCTCTACCCCATTTTTAGACGCATTCCACCAGCGATATGTTTGTTCTATTCTTGGGGAGAGGGCTTCCCCATTTTAAGACATGTACTGTCATGTGTTGTTTGTTTGGACAGACGCAAGTAAACCGGAGGAAAGGTGAGAGGCTGAATTATTGCGGACATGTTGCTCCTTTCCTAACACCCCTGTCAAATTAATTGGGCCATTCGGTGGGCTTTCGAGAAGCACAAGCTTGATGATTGAGTTATGGTTTCCCCTAAAAAGGCCCTTTAACACACGGATAATATAATATTTATATATATATATATATACAGATAGGCAGGCAGGCAGACAGACAGACCTGCGTAAGTACATACACGCATACATACATCAATGCATGCATGCATGCATACATGCATACATACATACATACATACGTACGTACGTACGTACGTACATACATGCATACATACACACAGCCATGCATGCGTGCATGCATGCACGCACGCACGCACGCATGCATGCATACAGACAGAGACAGACAGACAGACAGACAGACAAACAGACACAGACAGACAGACACAGACAGACAGACAGACAGACAGACAGACAGACAGACAGACAGACAGACAGACAGACAGACAGACAGACAGACAGACAGACAGACAGACAGACAGAGAGAGACAGAGAGAGAGAGAGAGAGAGAGAGAGAGACAGAGAGACAGAGAGACAGAGAGACGACACAGACAGACAGACAGACAGATAGACAGGCAGGCAGACAGACAGGCAGACAGACAGACAGACAGACAGACAGACACACACACCCACACACCCGCACACCCACACACCCACACACCCACACCCACACGCACGCACCCACGCACCCACGCACCCACGCATCTACGCACGCTCGCGCGCCTCTGAATCTTTCGGGTGTCCCTGAAATGTGTGTTGGTTAAAAAGAGAGCCCAAGATGGAACCCTGGAAGATGGACACAAAGGCTAAAACCAGCGGTCCCTTGGTGCTTCGATTTTGACCCAAGCCCAAATGCGAAATTCGAAGGTCGTGGACCCCCAAAAAGGGCTATGGGGAGGGGGGGCTATCCCTTATTAAGCCCTTAATAAGGCCTTATTAAGGGCTTATCCTTGGGTTATCCTGGGCTTATCCAAGGATAGCCCCCCCCTCCATAGCCCCCCGAAGGTTTTATGAGAAGAGCGGGGCGGGGAGTCGTTTGCTTCAGGCCTGGAGATGCCGAAGGACGAGGACTTCCAGCGCCTCAGGCGCTGGTGGGAGGCGGTGTCTGCGAGACCGGCCTTCCGCGCCACCTTGGTGTGCCGCAGACCCCAGGGGCTGGCGGATGCTGGCGGGCAGAAGTCGGGGAGGGGGGGGTTGTGTGGAACCAAAGATAGGTGACAGGTGGGGTTCGAACAGGGCGGTAATTATTTGGAACGTAGTTTAGAAGCTTGTGATTCCACGAGTTGCTCTTTTCAAAGTTGGTCTCAAAACCTCATTCGCCTTTATGAGTCTCCAGCTCTGTGTGCGGGGTGTGTTTTGGTTGCCCCTTTTGTGAATTGGTTTAAAGGAACTAAACTGACGCCTATCACTCTGCGGGGTTCTCTTCAAATGTAATCTGAAAGTTTTTTGTGTTTTTTTTTGGCGTGGACAACTCTATGGGTTTGTCCTTGAAATACGGAATCCCCAGATGTGGATGGTTCAATTGCCTTTGAACCAACTCTGGAAGGGGTATACACGAAAAGCAACATCCCGAGATTGCCAATGGACATGGAGGCCAAATTAAAGTGACCTTTACGGGTTTCCTCCTTGTGGTTTCCGATGTGAGAAATACCTGATGTACATGGACAGAGACCTATCTTCAAAAACACCTCCCCACACTCAACCCGGTGCTTTTTGGGCCTGTGTCTCAAGTAGAACCTGTCAAAAATGGGTCCCTATGTGGAGAGCCTTCAACTACCCAGTGATTTTGGGTTTTGGTTTGTGCTTCTGTGCGAAAAGCCCTGCCCCTGCGGACTGGATATGAAAAGGCCAAAGAGGCGGGTCTTGTGTGACTGCTGCAGTGTGTGTGTGTGTGTTGCGTGTGCCCTGGGCAAGTTAGTGGGTGCTCACTGCGTGCTTGTGAGCACCAGCATCCCAACTATACTGTTGCAGCTGGCCGGTTGCGGCTCTGCCGTACTATGGCGATCTCGCTCGGTGCAACTTCTGCTCGGCGCTTGAACTCCAACAATTGCTACCTAGGTCCCCCAGTAGTGCCCTTTTTTGGGGAGGGGTTTCCCTACTAAAATAGACTACAGAAAAAAAGTTGTACCCGTAGCTAATAACCCGATCCTCGCTTGAATTTGGAGGCCCCCCTTCGAATCGAAGCAGCCGCGGCGGGCCATTCATCAGCCAAATTGCGCCCCCTTGGTCAACATCACTTTCTGGAAAAGAAGCCAACCCGCTAAACCATTCGTACTTTGTTCAAAGTCCTTCCAAAACAATTCCTTTTCCTGATGGATATACAGGCTTTTTGCCCAGCTCCTCTATTTCCTGCGGAAATATGACAGTCACCCCCTCGCCCCCCCCCCCCCCCCTCATTCCAAACGTTTGCGTGGCGTTGTGAGGCCAGGACCGCTTGGTGTCCTCCTATGGCCAGTACAGCCGACACTGGGCTCATGACATCTCATGACCATGGCCACCGAAACCCCCAAAGAACAATCAGTGAAGCACACGTTGGTTTGTTGGACCTGGAGGCATTGCCGCAATGATGGTTCGATGTGTTTTGCCTTTTTGCGACCTAAGGCGGAAAAGGAAGCAACGCGTGTGTCGTTTAAGTGAAATCGCACATTATGCAACACTTGCTTGGGTAGCAAAGTGGTGAATGTTTTGCTAGGGGCCTGGGAGGAACCCAGACTCAGAATGGCAAAGCTCCCAATGACGCGTGATGTGTGTAGAACACGCCTGTCTGACGAGGTGAGTTTGTGCTACTGGCACCTGCGAGTCTGCCGGCCGAGCCAAGGAAATGAAGGAACTTCTGATTATGCGAAGAGCCTGCAGAGCTCCTTGAACAAGAAATGATAAAACAGGAGTCGCGTTTCGCAAAAGCAACGGCCAAGTGTGTGATCATGCACTTGGCGCGTGACTTACCTAAGCCCGGTGTGGCACGTAGGCTGAAGCTTGCATTTTTTGAAAGCTGGTGCTAGCAGAAGTGTGGTCATAGGCACTCACAGTAGTTTTCGCGCGACGAGTTTCTTATCAGGGTGTGTTTGCCTTTGGCAGGTTCCTTTTCTCCGGCTGTTTGTACATTGGCTACTCTATACATAGTCTAGTGCATTGTTTTCCGGACATGTTTTTTAGACTTTGAATGTTCCTGGAAACAATATGTAACAACATTGCTTTATGTATATGATATGTCACTTACACAGCTGAAGTGTTTGTCAGGATCATACGAGCACGCAGGCCTGGAAAGGGCTGCTCAAACCAGCGAACCGAGCAATGAGAATGACAAGAGCAACAGCATTAAAATGAACAGGAACAAGCACAGGAGCCACAAGAACAGCAGCAGCAGCAACAGCAGCAGACAACCAGACGGCAGCACGAAGGCAACTGAACACAGCTGGCTGCGCAAACACGCAGCTGTGCCTTGGCCTTGACATATGTAAACTAATACAGTTGACATGAGAGTAAGTGCACCGAACAACATGTTGCAGAGTGTTAGCGGTTGAAGCAGCCCGAACAAGCATAGCCGCTTCGATGTGGTAAATGATGGAAGCACATGTTACTCACTATGACGTGTGAACCGGTCGTTCATTTCAAGTGCAATGCAGAAGGAGCAAATGAACAGACACCGTTGGGGTACATGTTGCTTGTTGTTAATTTCACTAGTAGATGGGTATACATGAGCTTATCTAACTGTTTGTTTGGCCTAATGTGCAGCTGCCCTTGTGTAGATGAGTTTTGTTTAGCTTGGTTACCCAAACGCTTTATGTTGAACACTGGTGTTGAAACAACACACCTTCCTCATGCCAATCAGATGCCTCATTTCTGACCGTGAAATGTCCATGTTTGCATCAGCCCATCATCCGCTTGTTCGCAACTCAAGGCCGATGGTGGCCCCTAGCAGGTGATGCTTCATAGAGGAGAGCAATGCGAGGAAACCTCTCACGCGCATATTTTTTGAACTGCATGCGTAATGCTCGAAGGACTCACCGAGAAGCAAAGCCATATTGCAACTGCATATTGCGCTTCGCAGCAAACATAATTCACTGATTTCACTAGCTATGTTCGCATACGCAGCAGCTGAACTTCAAGTTTGAACTGGTACTCGTCAGCTGTGTCAACATGTTTGAAGTTCCTATTGATCCCTCGACGGTGCAACACATTCGAGCTGTGTCTCCTGGATTAGCAGATGGCGATCTCCAACTGCATCGCCAACTGCTTGGCTCGGGCCCGTGAGACTTGCAGCCTAGTCCTGAAAGTATGTCCACAGTGCACTTAGAATCAGAGCAATCCTGGCAACATGGGCAATGTTACTTTTATGTACGCATACGTGGTGTGCTGCATGGTGATGGAGAGTAATATGTTTACAACCCGCAGCTACAACTTTACACAACATATGAAGCTAACAGTGACATTTGGGCCAGCAGCCCGCTTGCGAAACGGGCGTTGAAGCTTCCTTGTGCATCGCAAATCCCGCGATGGCCACTTCCGAGCCCGTGGACGCATGTGCGGAGCTGTGGTGGAGGTGGGCAGACGGGGCCTGCCTGTCAAGCATGAAGAGTATCCCTGCCCTCTTGGAGGGCGTCCCCTTATTTTCTGGGCCTGCGGCCTCTAGCCGGCTACGCCTCTTTGAAGTTATACCATGTCATGTCATGTTTGTTGTATGAGAAACGTATCCTGTGCTATGATATGGCTGGTTAGGTTATGCCTGTTGCCCACCCCAACCCCAGATGATGCCGGGGATGCCAGCTTTCTGGGCCCTAGCCAGGACCCAAACCAGAAGGCTCACATGGGGTCGCGCGTGCGCGCGCGCGCCAGAGGCCGCAGAAACAGCAGCCCAAAAAGAACAGCCCGCAAGCCAGCCCGGAAACGCAAAAGCAACAAAACACCGTAACTAGCAGCGTTTTGTGGCTGGGGTCGCGCGCGCGCGCGCCAAAGGCCCGAAAACCAACGCGAAAAAAGCAAGGCGAGCCAGCCACAGCAAAAGCAAAACGGACAGAACAACAGCCCACCGCTCAGCACAGCAGTTTTTGACGGTATTTACAGCGTTTTGTAGAGCGAGGACCCAGCATCGCCGGCATGCCCGGCAGCGCTTGGCGCCAAAATGCGCGAAAATGAGCCTCGCTTATATCCCTCCGATACCTTCTAAAAAACAGTGCTTTTTGGGTTGAGAGGCTTTTTGGAAGGAAGTCTGGATGACGCAGACCTAGCCCCGCTGAAGCATCGCCCAGGCCCAACCCCACACCCTGATGATGTCAGCCACATGGCCTAAACCCTGCATATACGCGATGTTTTGCGAGGGTTTCCCACAGGCAAGCAAAACCGCAAGCCCGAGCTGGTGATGCAGAGGTGCCGGATTTAGGCAGCGCATCACGACCAAGTAGCGAGGGTCGGCGGCACCAGGGTGCACCCCCTATAGCTAAAGCTAGCAGGCTAATTGCCTAGCGGCGACATGCAACCCCAAGGAGGCGTAGCCGGATTAACCAGGCTCCCGCCTGCTGCCGCCGACCCTCGGCGCATTAAGGGAAAAGTCATAAGGACCGGTCCTGAAACACGTCCGCAAACCCAGGGACCACTTATAAGATCCTCTACGACCACAAACAAGGATTAACGGAAAAGTCAGAAATATGGCAGCTAGTCCGTTAATTACCGCTCGGGCCGGCTTGCGCCCAAGTCACTTCGAGTTGGCCCGAGCAGTCACTTCAAACCGCTGCAGACACCTGGTGCCACCTCAAACCGCTCCAGACACCTGTTTCCTCCAATGTCGCTCCTTCGGGAGGGCCAGTTTCAGGGCCACCGCAGGATCCGATACCAGCGGTCACACCAGGACTCGATCCCGGACCGGCTTGGACCAGTCCTGAAAGCGGTCCTGGCCGGGACCAGTCCCAGGACCGGTCCCAGGACTGGTCCCAGGACCGGTCCAGGACCCAGGACCCAGGACCAGTCCCAGACCAGTCCTGGGACTGGCGGATTTTCTTACGGGTTTCAGTGAAACGGCAACCCCTGATTGCACATAGCACCAGCCGCAACTTGCCGGCAAGCACTCCGAAAGTCCAGATTGCATCCTTCATTCCATACAAATTAGAAGTTTGCGTTCATCCCATCTTTGGGGCGAATTGATCTACCTGGTGAAGGGAGGTTAACCCATTTAGAGACGCAAAGAAGCAGGCACTGGTAAAGGCAGGGATGGGGCAAGAAAGCCCAGAGCGCAGCAATTGGGGTATTGCTCAAAAGAGGGAACCCCGAAAAGATATCAATTAGAACACGGGGGGGGGGGTTGACATTCAAATATCAACGAGAAAGGGAGTTCAGGACTTCCATTTGTTTGGCATGTCTACGGTTCTAGGCTGCTGTGATATGACTGTGTACCCCTAGCGTCCTGAAGCTATGTACATCAGTGAGTTTTTTGTCGCCACTGGGATTTGTCTTCTTGGTAAATTGGGATCCTGCAAGGGTTCACCTGTGATATATAGCCAGCACGGAGGGGCAGACGCAGCCGGGGAGGTTATTCAAGTCAAAGTTTTTCTGAAATTTTGGGGCCCCGCTCCAATGGTAATCCTGTTTTGCTTGTCCATTTCATTGAAATGAGGTATGGAACCACCAGTTTCGGGATATGTTCTGTTGGTTCCCCTTGAATAAGACTGCCTCGATTTGTGCTTAGCTTTTCCGGCAGCTTTTTAAGTGGTGTCCACGCCAGGTTGCAAGATGCCGAGCAGGATCTGATCTTGGCCATGGACAAATGCGAAAGCATTCGCAGGCGAGCAAGAAAAGGATATAGTTCACTTGGGTGTCCTAAAATCTGTAGTCTCTTTTGGATTCTGAAGAACCGCCAAAAGGAATGCATCCATGTTCGGGGGTTTGAATCATCCACTTCAATTTAGGATTGCCCTGTCCCCCCTTAGTGTTGGAACGTGGACTGGCCATGGGCAAAGAATCGGCGCGACAGGGAAAAGGAGCGTGGACGGCACGTGCGAGCCAATCGCACTGAAGAGGCGGAGGAGATGGGCCGAAGGGTCCACGCTTGGGTGTGCCAGGTGCGGCTAAAGAAAATGCATCGAGCACTTGGAGCCCTCCAAATGTCTAAAATTCTAAAGATTGTTTGTTGCATTTCATGTAAACTTGGGTGTGTCATACACGAAGAAGCATCTTGGGGTGGTTTTCTGCGGCCCTTTAAACATGCAATCAAAGTGATCCGCAAATGTGTAGTTCGAGCACCAGTTTGGCACTACCAAGAGGTTGGAGTGAACAGTGCACACCTATCTGCTGGCCTTGTTGTGTCAGTTTGTCTTGTTTTCAGGTCAGTTCCCTCAGGTCACATCCGCCACATAGGGCCGTGCCTGGGCTGTTTCGTTTCGTGTGTGGGATGCAACCGACGCTGGCGCTTGCAGTCTTTGGCTCTAGGACGACTTCTACGCTGCCAGCGGTCGCCTCAGTTGATCTGCCAGACCAAGGACGACAAACAAGCATAGGAAGGTTTGGAGGCAGGATGAAAGTAACCGCAGGTAGGATGAACAAGCAGAGAGAGCCTGGTAGGGCGAAGAAGGAGGAAGAGGAACGTCCGTGTTGTTTCTAGCGAGCACATGTCCAAGAAGTCAGAAGAGGCTCCAAAGAAGACAGCCGTGCAAAGCAATTATAGCTCGATCTGTTTGCGTTCACCATGTTTCTTGCAGCCGCAAACCTGTTCAGCCTGATGCTTGTTTGCCTCCGTGCTTCTGGTCATCACGTGTGTTAGGTATATCCAGATGTTTTGACCTCTAGGTCTTACATCACACTTTCTCCCGCTGCTTGCCTGCCACGGCATCATGGCAGATGTTTGGCGGCACACCCATACGCCCAGGTTAGGCACCCCCCACTGCAATTTCCATGGCAGATTTTGGGCAGCACCGGATGTGGAAAACACACCCTTCCTCCCAGGTCAGGCATCCCTCACCTGCAGTTTCCGGAACCCCAGCCCGGTGCCCCACCCCGGACCCCGCCCGCTGCGACTGCGAGCCACCGAGGGCTCCACTTGGCGCACCTCCAGCGGCTGCTGGGGGTGGAGACCTCCGGCGACGCGGACGCGGTGCAGGCGGCGGTGGTGGAGGCGTTGGCGCAGAAGGCGGCGCTGGCGCTCAGCGAGATGCTGCGCCTAGGCCCGGGGTGGAGGGATGGAGGGTGGAGGGTTGGAGGGTTGGGGGGTGGAGGAGGAGGAGGCGGGGGGGGTTTACAGGGATCTCTTTTTGGAATTATTATTTTTGCATTTGTGCATTTGCTACGTCTGATGCCCCAGCATCAAACATATGGGGGCAAAGGGGGAAACATATTTCGGGTTGGCGCGAGTTCTTTGGACGCTGAGTCGAGAATGCGACTCGTTGGCGTGAGTGTTTTTGTTTGGACATCGGCGGTTGGGCATCAGCCAACAGATGCGAGTGCAAATGCCGCGATGCGGGTTCCAAGATGAGCAGTCATGCCTATACCTATAGGACTAAAGCTATGTACACATATACACGTACACATACATGTATATATATATATACAAACATACATATATAGAATATATATATATATACATGTATACAAAATCAGTTATAGCCACCGCCGGTTTCTGATTCGGGGGGTGGGGATGAAACTCCATGCCGGTCGAGGAGTCGAGGAGTCAAGCCAGCGGATCTGATTTGCGACTCGACTCGATTTTTCCTCGATTCGAAGAGCTGCCAGTTGTGTAGGTAACCGGTGGGTATTCGATCCGTTTTGGCAAGGCTGCAAATCATAGCAACAGACTTGAGGGATTTCCGCAATGCACATAACAGCAACAGGTTTTTTTCGGCTCTCAAGAAAAGAGTTCGCAGCAAAGCGAGTTGCTTCTCCATCGAAGGGCGATTTTTTCTGTTCCGTGCCACTGTCAAAAGGTTTACATGTTGATTTATTGCGAAAACTGCTCAAGGAACCCAACCGGGCTTGACCACTTGACGATGTTAAAAAACAAAAAAAAAGCAAAAAAAAAAAAACAATCCCCATCCGTTTGGGGCCTGTCCCTGACTGATGCCCTTAGTCCCAGAGTAAGTCAAGGCGAAGGCGAAGCACCTAAGATCTTTAAGGTTTCATAGAGGATCGCCCACCCACACCCTTCGAGACGCATGACCCGTGACCAGCCACCCCCCAGCCCCGTGAGAATTCGTGGGACTCCGGACGGAAGGTCTGTGGCTAGGCCTGCCTGCGCCGGTCTGGCGCGAGGCGTGGGCCAGGTTGAAGCCAGATTGTTTTTTCAAAATTTGAGATGGGTTGAAGGCCTGAAGTTGTGTTTGGAGGTCAACCTGGGTCAGTGCGAAAATGCAGTGTTTGTTTTTTTCTCGCGACAGGTGTTAAGACATGTGATTCTCAACATTGGCGAAGCCGAAAAGGGTGATTTCCTTTTGGTGCTTGAAAACAAACTAAGGGTAGCCTGGAGTTGACCCAACCTGAGGTGAGCCACACTGAAAACCTGGGTAGATGAAGGTAAGGGACGATCCCAGCCAGAAATAGCAGCGGAATTCCGCCTTCTTAATTCTTGAAGCATGGTTCTGGGTCAACCAGTTTAATACCGGGTTTTGAGCCAGTGACTCAGGTGGTGAAGAGCGCTCTGCCGGTGGCGAGCTTTGGCTTCGATGCGCGCGAAGACACAGTAATGAGGGTGGCGCTGAGGCAGGGGGAAGGTTTGAGGTCTCCGCTGCGTTGAGTATATGGCTGTGGTTGTCAAAACCAAGGTTACATGCTGGGGAAGTGCACCACCCACTGTAAAACTTATTTTTGTGGGGAACGGGCTTTTGACCCATGGCCATATATGGGTGGGTGGATTAAATAGACAAACAACTCGGAAAATTGCCAGTTCTTGGTACTAGTATCTCAGTGCGGGGCGGTTGGTTCAAGGTTGAGGTGGGGGTGTGCGGGGCGCTCGGGGCGGGTGGTGTTCCAGCTGGTTGCTGAAGGAAAGGAGTTCAAGTACATAAGCCACAGCTGAGTTTCAGTCCCTTTGGTGGGGAGAGCGGATTTGGAGTGCTGCCCTGAAGCTATCGTGCAGCGTCTCAAAAACCCGGACTAGTGGACAATTTTTTGTGCGGCAGCTGCCAGGCTGCATGGCAATTTCCAGGGCAAAACGATTTTAGAATGGCAATTTCCAGGGCAATTTCCATGGCAATTTCCATGACAATCAGAATAAACGATTTTAGCAGTCGGGCTAGCTCCTTTGAGTTCAGCAGGTTGATTAAAGACGGACGTGTCCAAGGGGCTGCCGGGGGATTTGGCTCCAGCGTGCCATAAGAGCCCTCGGCGCATCAGGACGACCGGAAGCCTTCCAAAGACGAGCCAGTGTGACTTGAGCACAGCGCCATGCGGCTGATCGTGTTTTTGTTCATCGGCGCGTGCTTAATTGGCTTCAAGCCGCAGGGAAGCATTGCTTTGTTCATGGTGTGTCCCCTCAAAGGGATGTGTGGACCCGCAAAATGGAGGGTGTTCCTTTCGGTTGCCCGAACCAACCAAGGGGACCCTCAAACGCAGCACACCCTTACCAGCTTCCAATGGTTGGACCTGTTTGGCTGGCGCCATGCGCCACCTTCAGGGCTTCCCTGCAGCCTCTTCCAGAAATCTTTGAAGCCGATGCAAGATGGATTTAAAACCATCAATCTCAGAAGGCCCTGATCCGCCAATATGGGATTAAGGGCTTTTGACTCACCCCATGTGCAAGCCACAGCAATTTTGAAGCAACCAACACCATTTGAAGAAATGCAAGGAGAAGAAGAAAACCAGCAACCAACAAGCAAAAGCCTCGCGGGTTGGGTCGTATTGCTTCAGATTTTCCGATGAAAAAATGAAGCGGCCCGGTCAGTGGCGCTGGTACTGCTTGTCCAATCTGAGCCTGCATACCTGCTCACAAGGTGGCCAACTAGCCGTGCAGAATCGACACAGGGCAAGCGAGTCTCAAGGTATCCAGCCACCTGCACCCACCAGCCAACAATCCCAACATCAGCGCAACATCAGCCCAACATCAGCCAACATCAGCCCAACATCAGCCAACATCAGCCCAACATCAGCCCAACCTCAGCCAACATCAGACCACCCAAACAGCCCAAGCAGCCTTCGCCTTTGCTTTGTAGGCCGAGCCGAGCTCGCCATGGGAGATGGCTTGGAGCCTAAGTTGCCCTGCCGGTATCTTGCCCCATGGCCGCAACGCGGGATTGGAGTTCGGTACCCTTTTTGAAGAGGGGATTGTAGTCAGGCCAAATATTAACCTCAATGTTGGTAGAAAACGACAAAAAGGGGTCTAGGCACTGCTCAAACCACTTTGCTCACCTAAATGAGGATAACGACCTCACCATGAAGGTTGACCACTAGGGGCTCCCTTATGCTTGTTTGTGAATTGTGGTATCTCGCCTAGAGCTTCTGTTGGCGTGGCCAGTTTGGAAGCGTTGTAAATCTATTTGCTTCTGCATTTCAACGCTCGTGGGATTCCATTGAGCTTGCGACCGGCCCCGACAATCTACAACATTTGTGCTCCCTATAGGAAATACGGGAAGTACTCACCAACCATAGAAACAAGTTGGCATGGGTTGGATGGCGAAAGCCGCTGTCACTTTGTGAGTCCAGTGGACACCATCGGGCAAATAGCGACCTTGATAGGAGGTTGCGACCTCCAATGCACACGTCTTGATCCCTTTTTCTGCGTCGACTTCCTGTTTCCGAACAGTAATGTATGGAACTGGAGCTTGATCCCTTGAATTTCCCCCTGGAGATGTTGCGACAGTTGCGTTCCGGGACCTCGAAACACCATTCTTCTTTGTGGGTTCCCTTCGTTCCTTTTCATTCCTCCGCGGGGGTCTCAAAATGGCATACCCTCCCTTTGGTTTCCATCTTAGCCATCGAAAAGGGTAGCAACTCCAAAAAAAAACACACCCAATCCAATTCCAATGGCACCTCCCTTCTGGTTTGGGGGCTACCAGTCACCCCAACAAGTAATGGTCCCAATTGCTGCCAGAGTCACCGGTTGCAACTGGGCAATAGTCGCATGTTACCGGTGAGCAGTGGTCCATCCGTCATCTGCTGAAGGGGATGGCATGCTAAAGTATGCTCACCAAACATCCACAAGGTAACGGGGTTTGCTCATAGAATCCCATCTCTCAGTTTGGGACACAGCATCAAAGGCTGAATGTATACGTCCATGGCTTAGTTATCGGAACTCAGCCCCCCTTTGGGTCCAAAATTTGTATAGGGCCTTACACAATCAGCCTTTGACAACAAGTATTGACCATGGATGTACCTTTTCAGGCGAAGATGCTGGGTGCGGGTGAGGAGCCACCGCCGCGGGTCTCAGCATTCTATATGTTATGCAGCTTCTTAGGCGCGTTCACCGGCATCTCGGTGCTCGCAGCCCGGCTGAGTTTGCAGCTTGCTTCCCAGTTGTTGTCTTGTGTGTTTTTCTTTACGGGGGGGAATAAGTGCACCCCAAAATTGTGTTTTTCTTTTGGGGGGAATAGCTTCACCTACAATTCGACCAAACAAGCACGGGCGGCTTCTTCTTTTTTGCCACGACCACTGAGCTTCTGAGTTTATGGATCGGTGAAGCCATGTTTGCAAGACCGAGCTGGAACTTTGCCCGTCCTTCTTGATTTAGGTGACCGATGGTACAAGTTAGAAAGAACTCAGGGACCGAGTTTGGAAGGGACACCCTAGCACAACTGACACAATTTACTGGTCTAGTGTCAGTTCGGGTTGGGGCCCGCCCAAATAATGTTTATTCCCGGCCTTGGCAACATGATTCCCTATGCCCTTTTGGTGTTTCTTCATTTTCCCAATTGTAAGTTGCAAACGACTGACTTTCTTTCAGGGGGTCCAGGTTTGGCCAAGCTTTGGGCAGGGCTTCTAGTTTCCCTCCAACAAGTAGTCTGTTGCCTTGTTCGCCAAGTTCAAGTGAGTTTCTAGTGCTCCACGTGGGTAATATGGGTCACCATGTTTAGTGACACCCTTTAAATTTCCTTTTTAATTGCGTGTTCCTTTGTTCTTTTTTTTTTTTTTTTTTTCGTTAATGTGTGTGTGTGCGCATGTTTTTTCTTTGCCTTACTGGGCTCTGCTTCTTTTTGTGTCCATGTTGATGTTTTGTTTTTTTTGTCTGGGGGGGTGGAGCTTTGGTTTCCAATCAAACTCCAACACGAAGAGTTATCTTTTACTAGGTCCCTCAGTAGTGCCCTTCTCTCCACTTTTTTGGGGGAGGGTTCCCCCTACAGCCAAAAAAGATCGGGCACCCTTATTCTAACCTCTCTACTGGAGGACCTAGTTGCTTCCTCCCTTGAGAATCAACTGCCAAGAAACAACTGGTGGGCTTGTATAATAACCTTCCCTAATTGCAGTTTAGTCAGGGTGGGACTTTTTGTGGTGAGGTCTCCCAAAAACACTGTAAAACGATAAGGAGTAAAAAACGATACCGTTTTGTAGAACTAGACTTGACAATCTGCAGCTGGAACTGCGGAAGTGTACTTCGCTTACTACGCTTGTACTACAAAGTTGCGATTTTCCAGCTGGAGCTGCGGAAGTGTACTTCGCGTACTACGCTTGTACTACAAAGTTGCGATTTTCCAGCTGGAGTACTTCGCGTACTACGCTTGTACTACAAAGTCGCGATTTTCCAGCTGGAGCTGCGGAAGTGTACTTCGCGTACTACACTTGTACTACAAAGTTGCGATTTTCCAGCTGGAGCTGCGGAAGTGTACTTCGCGCACTGTACTTGCGGAAGTGTACTTCGCGTACTACACTTGTACTGAAAAGTTTGGATTCTCAAGTTTGATTTGCCAAGTTGAAGAAAAAGTTGTAAAACGATAAGGAGGAAAACACGATAACGTCAAAAAAGTATAGTAGGGGAAGGATGGGGGGTTTTTATACATGCCCAGGTGCCGTTGTTTTTTTGCATGCTCACCAAGGGTTTTGGGGACTGACCCTTGAGAATCCAATCAGGACCTAGTTGCTTCTCTGTTTTTTTAGGGGGTCCTGTTGAGGCTTCACTCCACAGCCGCTTGATGAAACCGGAAGCCAACCTGGTGCTCTTGATCGGAGCTTTCGGCGCGATGTCCGTGCTTCTCTTCAGTGCTTGCAAGGCGAAGATGGACTGGTTTTAGATGCGCTTTCCGCAGCTTGGACGTTGGTTTCTGTTGGTCTTGTTTTTTAATTCGAGTGGGAATCCGTTTCCGAGATCGAATCCCTACATTCAGCAATTGGGCTGTTGGTGTCAGATTGCCGCTTTGGTTGAGTGGCCAAGTTGGAATCGCCAAGGTGACATTTAGTCGTGGCACTAAACCAAGTCACAAAAAGAGCCGCTTGCAGAACCATTTTGGTATGTGTTTTGTTGAGGGATTTTTCAGGTTGGCGGAAACCTCAGAGGCCGCCTTTGCCCCACCACCAACACCCAAAGCTCACCAGGGGACCTCAGGCGCCAAGGCACCCCCACTTTGTCAGGTCCCCCAGTAGTGCCCTTTCTCTCCCTTTTGTGGTTGGGAGGGTTCTCCTACTAAAATAGACTACAGGAGAAAAATATCGGGTAGCCTTATTCTAAGCTCTCTACTGGAGGACCTAGTCTTTGGTGCATTTTGCTTGGATGTTAGGACTTTAACTTTTTTGCAAACCAATGGGTTTTCCATTAGGCCACGAAAAGTTAAACTTTTAGCAGGGGAGCAGAAAGCAACCGAGTAGTTGCGCAGGCTTACGTGGCGCAGCCCCTGAACGTCATCCTGGGCAATACCTTGGGCGGACTAGTGGGGGTCACGGTCTTTGAGCTCATGGCCTTTGCGGCTCGCGGGGAACGGAGGGAAAGACCGTCGAGGGGTTTGTTTGTTAACATCCTTTTTCCTTGTTGAGTTTCTGGTATTGTTGTTTGCTATTGTTATTACCAGTAGAGCCGGCGAAGCCGGTGGACGGAAGTTTCTAAAGCGAGAAGAGTGCCTATAGGAAGAGCTTGGCTTGTGCTTGTTTTTTTGTTGCGCTCTTTCTTTGTCTCTTTCTTTGTCTTTCTTTAAATATTTATCTCTTTCTTTCTTGCTTTCTTTCTTTTTCTTTTCTTTGCTTCTCTATCTCTTTTTTCTCTTGCTCTTTATTGCTTATTTCTTTCTTTCTTTATTTGTATATTTCTTTATTTTCTTTCTTTCTTGCTTTCTTTCTTTTTCTTTACTTTCTTTCTCTATCTCTGTACTTCTTTTTATATCTCTTTCTCGTTATTTCTTTCTTTCTTTCTTTCTTTCTTTCTTTCTTTCTTTCTTTCTTTCTTTCTGTCTTTTTATTTCTCTTTCTCTTTTCTTTCTCTTTCTCTTTCTCTTTCTTTTTCTCTTTCTCTCTCTCTTTCTCTTTCTCTTTCTCTTTCTTTTTTTTTTCTCTCTCTCTCTCTCTCTCTCTTTCTTTCTCTTTCTTTCTCTTTCTCTTTCTTTCTCTTTTCTTTCTTTCTTTCTTTCTTTCTTTATTTCCATTCTTTATTTCTTTCTGTGTTTCTTTTGTTTCTTTCTTTATTTCGTTCTTTCTTTATTTCTTTCTTTTTTCCTGATTTCTTTCTTTTTCTTTATTTCCTCATTTCTGTCTTTCTTGATTTCTTTCTTTTTTCTTTGTTTCTTTCTTTCTATATCTCTCTGTCTTTCTCTTTCTCTTTCCATTTGATCTATCTATCTGTCTATCTGCTCCTGACCTTGCGAAAGTGCGGCGCCTGCCACGAAATCTGTACTAGACCTTACGAAAGTGTTGCGCCTGCCCTTGCTGATCTATCTATCTATTTATCTATCTATCTATCTATCTATCTATCCATCTATCACCTGACCCTGCGAAAGTGCTGCGCCTGCCATGAAATCTGTACTCGACCTTGCGAAAATGCTGCGCCTGCCACGAAATCTGTACTTGATCTTGCACGGGCACAAAATGCTACGCCGGCCAGGAAATCTGCACCTTAGGTTGCCAAAGTGCTGCGCCTGCCAGGCAAAATAGACCTCCGAACACGTCTGCGCGAGCATTACAGTGGGCAACATTCCGAACGTGGCGAGACCGTGGCGAACCCGCACACAGAACAGAGGTACCCTTCGCGATTCTCCGTGCTGACTGACTTCACTTCTGAGTGCGTCCGGATCTTGTGATTCAACTTTTCTTATTACGGAAGTTTTCTTACTAAACTTCCTTTGATTCTCATTATAATTACGATTTATATATCAATATTATATACTACACCAGCATAGACCCCAGATAGCAATGATTGCACACCAGCACCTCCAACAGCTCCCAAAACAGCACCCGCAGCAGCACCCCAAACTGCATGCCCCCTACACCCTGCCGTCAATCTCGCAAAAAAGCGCCAGCACCGTCACCCTAAGAGCACCCCAAACAGCACCCCCCCCAAACACCCAGCCGCACCCCAAACAGCATCCCAAAACGCCACCTGCACCAGCACCCCAAGCTGCATGCCCCCTTGCACCCTACCGTCAAGATGCAAAAATGTGCTTGCGCCGTCACCTGCATGCCCGATAGCGCCCGGGCGTCAATATCGCAAATTGCACCCGCACCGTCACCAGCACCTCAAACAGCTCCCCAATCAGCACCCCAAAGCACCACCAGCACCAACGCCCCAAACTGCAGCCCCCGTGCACTCTACCGTCAAGATGCAAAAAAGCGCCAGCACCGTCACCTTAAGAGCACCCCAAACAGCACCCCCCCAAACACCCAGCCGCACCCCAAACAGCATCCCAAAACGCAACCTGCACCAGCACCCCCAAACTGCATGCCCCCTAGCACCCTACCGTCAATCTTGAAAAGATGCGCCCGCACTGCCATCAGCACCTCAAACAGCGCCCCAATCCGCAAAAAACCAGCACCCCCAAACTGCACGCCCCTTAGCACCAGCCCATCAATCTCGCAAATCACTTCCCCCTCTTTATCAGAAGTTAGAACCCCTATAGCTTTCAGCTATCTGGGAAAATAAAATTATTGTTATTTATTACTGTAATTGTTACTACCATTCGTATGCTTATTTACGTGTACTTGGTCTTGTCTTGTTTTTTTTTGGGGGTGCAGGGCAGACCCTAAACAGCCAGCTCAAGAAATAGATGGCCATCTTTGGGTGTGTTTGAGAGAAGCCAAAAAACGGCCTACAGAAAAGGGCCCTTTGTTCAGAAATGGGTTTGGCTTCCTTCAGAGAAGAAAAGGGACTGGCGGAGGAAAGGTGTTGGGGGAGGCGAAGCCTGTATAGGTAGCAGGAACCACCCTTGAACACACTGCGGGTCGATTCATCTTCGATTCCAGGTTTGGCGAGTGAGTTTTGATGTTTTCCGGATCCCGGCAGTAGCCAAAAGGAGCATGGGATGCACGGGGCGCACGGGATTTGGGTTTCCTTCGTCCATGGTGTTGATCCAGCGAGGCTTGGGGTATGTCCATTTGACCACATTGAGGTTTTTTTGCATTGCAACCCGACAGGTTGTCCATTGGATCCTGACAGGCATCCGCTTGACGACTTGGTGCGTGGTCGTTTGTTTGTCCCCAATGGATGCCACCACACTAGTCGTTCTCACAAAGTTGGGTAACCAGGTTTTTTCCCCAATTATTAGCTGTGCTAGGGACGGCGAGGCACCGTATTTCCACCCTTGAACGTGGAAGCTGAGAGAGCCTTCGAAGCATTGATCGTATTGCTCGAAAAGGGACTCTCTGGCAGGTTCCAGCTACGCCAGAATTTCCATGTTCGCCGAAGTGAGGCCAACGTGGATTTGCTTTGGCTGACAGCGGCTCTGGCAGTGTCACTGACGATCCTGGCGCAGGAACTCACTCGATCTGTGCACCCACCGGGAGCTGCGACGGCCCTCATCTATGTCATCACACCTTCTGCTTCCTGACCGGAAAAAATCTGAGCCGGTCCGTTTAAATTCACCCAGATGGGGGAGGCTTCATTTTTTCCTTTCCTGTTGCTTCCGGGGCCCCTTTCACCAATTGCTACGGGCCGCTTTAGTGGATTCCCGCCCACAACGGATTTTGGACGTGTTTCTTCCTGAAAGCATCGCGAAGGGTTCTTCCGTGCGGAGCGCTTGAACCACTTTGCACGGAGAAACTTGCAAACAGCCATCTGGACAGAGCTACTGGCGCAGAGCCACCTGCACAGAGCTACTGGCGCAGAGCCATCTGCGCAGAGCTACTTGCACAGAGCTACTTGCACAGAGCAACTTGCACGCGGCTATCTGCGCAGAGCTCCTTGCACAGAGCAACTTGCACGCGGCCATTTGCGCAGAGCTACTGGCGCAGAGCTACTGGCGCAGAGCCACCTGCGCAGAGCCACCTGCGCAGAGCTACTGGCGCAGAGCCATCTGCGCCGAGCTACCGGCGCAGAGCCATCTGCGCAGAGCTACTGGCGCAGAGCCTGCAGAGCCACTTGCACAGAGCTACTGGCGCAGAGCCATCTGCGCAGAGATACTTGCACAGAGCAACACGCGGCCATTTGAGCTACTGGCGCAGAGCCATCTGCGCAGAGCAACTGGCGCAGAGCCACTTGCTCAGAGCTGCCCGCCCCGAGACATCTGAGCTACTGGCGCAGATCCATCTGCGCAAAGCTACTGGCGCAGAGCCATCTGCGCAGAGCTACTGGCGCAGAGCCACCTGCAGAGAGCTACTGGCGCAAAGCCACCTGCACAGAGCTATTGGCCCAGAGTTATTGGCGCAGAGCCATCTGCGCAGAGCTACTTGCACGGAGCAACTTGCACGCGGCTATTTGCGCAAAGGCGGGCAGACTGGGAATAGTCTGGGTTTAGTCTGGCACACTGCCTGGGTGCGAACAGTGTGCGTAAAGAGCTTGGGTAAAGACTTAGGCGCTCGGAGTCAGCAGCTATGTATTTGCAGCGCGCAGATCAACCCTCTGCGAGCGTGCTTGTCGAATCGCCCTCGCTGTGGCCCTGGCCCCGTGCATCGTTTGCTTCTTTTGCTGTTTGCGAGCTGTTCCTTGGAAGTTGCATGGTAGCTTGCGAGACTGCCCTTGCAATCGCGCGGTCGCGGTTCGATCCCCGCTGGGTCCGCATGAAAGTCGCAACTTCTGAGTACAAAAGTATCACTCGAAACACAGTCCCCAGAGCTCCGGCAAGTACCAAAGCCGAACGCGAAGTGCCTTCCAAGTCGCAACTTGTCAGTACAAAAGTAGTACGCAAAGTGCGTTCCGGCGGAACATTGCGACCGGCGCAAAAAGGAACTTGCACGGAGGACTCGTAGAAAGCGATGTGCAGACTTGCCCAGAGCACCTTGAACAGCGCGCTCGCGCAAAGACACCTGCCTGTGCATGAGCAGAGGCCCTTGCAGACATGCGCAGAGCAACTTGCGCAGAGCAACTTGTGCAGGGCAACTTGTGCAGGG